TCCTGATACCTGTTCTTTTATTATCCCCCTCCTCATTAAAGGCTTGTTACTCTCTTCCACTCCAAGTAACCGTTTGCGTCTTATTGGCATTATCGCCTTGCTTTGGGTAAAATATTTAAAAAGAATATCGGCCTAGAGGGACGAGCCCAGTGTGTGACACTGTCAGTAAGTGTACGAAAAGCATATCCAAGCCCTGTGAAGGAAATTAGGCAGATATTTTTTTGGAAGACATCGATAGTTATACTAGCACCAAGTTAACAGTCGTCGTGACCGAGGGTTGGCTTGTTCAACATGGTTGATTACTCCAGATGACGTGCTCTTTTCCCCAGAAACTGTAAGTAAAGTCTGCCCAGCATAGTAGTAACATAAACTGGTTTCAGTCTTAGGGCGCTGAAGAAAGACAAATGTATCTGAGCGGGCGCCTGCAACAGGGATTAGGTAGCCACCTTAGCAGATACGCATTCTTCAAAACTTGCAACCAGTCATTACAAAAATAGATTTTCAATTCTGAGCCACCATCCATTACACCACCTGTACATCCTGTTTGCTGAAGACATGATTTGCGCATGACAGTTCTTTGTGATTTTGTAGCGCCAAAATCTGTGAAAGTATCAGAGTTGCTGTTTGATATATGATTGTTTTTTGGGGTTTTTTTTAAGTTCATATCTGAATAAAATAATTTGCATTTTTGTTTTCAAAAGTCATTGTAGGAATCTGTCTAAAATTGTGATTTTGTAGTGACGGTCCACAAGATTCAAAGAAGTATGGTCTTTGGCAAGGTCCATATGTTTTAGTCACTCAAAGACATTTTTAACCATTGAGCTGAGAAAGCTTTGTTTGGAATTCAATATATGGGAAAAAATGTAAGTAAGGAAAAAATAACATAGCAATGTGATATGTTTTTGTTAAGGAAATATTGATCAAATCAAAGCCTTGTTCTGTGTACGTGTATAAATCTTTGGAGTGTGCAAGTTAGGGCAATTCTCTGAGTTTTGTTTGCGTAAAGATCAAGACGAAACTCATAGTTGCACATAATTAACTTTAATACCAATAGTCAACTATGGCAAGTAAAGTAGACATTTTTGGCTAGTCAGACAGAATTGGCATTTGCAGCGGGGAAAAAAATCAAATCAAACTGAGCTGTTTTATCTTGAGAAATAATTTTTATGGTTTCTTAATTGGAATGATGGATACTTGGATTGAAATTTTCCTGAGGTGCCAGAGGAAATGATACAGAAATAAGAAATAAGTAGGAATTTACAAAGAACAGACAAAAGTGTTTGTATGTATTTTTTTTTGAAGAGATGTTTTAGCAGTTTAAAATTATTTTGATTTTGTATCAAAAGGAGTAGATAGGTTTGCCTATCGCCCAGTTCACACATCTCGACAGTCTATTGAACGGGAGTAGAGCTTTATCCCTTCTTTCCTGTTTAGGATTGGGTTTTCAGTTCCTTTTAAAGGCTAATTCAACTCTATACTTTTGACATTCATTAACCGAGCAACTATAGTGTGTTGCGTGTATCCTACGACAGAAACTGTGGTGAAAAAGAAAGTTACTTGCCGAAAAAAAGGGCACATATTCTGCATGATATGCCGAAGACAGAATGTCCAAATTAGAAACAAGTCAGTCGTAGGAGTCGCCATAAAAGTATTTTGATATGCCAAAATTGGGCGTCCTCTTCCAGTTGACAAATGAAAAAAATGATCAGTTCATAAAAGCAGTTGGAGTTCTCGAATTGGGGGTGGGGAGACAAAATTTGTGTATTTAGCGACTGACGAACTGCGGGTGGGTGGGTCTGAGTGAGTGAGTGGATCTGAGTGGGCCTGAGTGAGTGAGTGAGTGAGTGAGTGAGTGAGTGAGTGAGTGAGTGAGTGGGTCTCAGTGAGTGAGTTTTCTGGCTGGTTATGTCCATTGAGATTTGTGACATAATACCTGCAAATGGAAATTTCGACATTTCTTTCTGTCCCTGATCTTCGAGTCTGAACTTACAGTGATTGGTTCTCTTGGTTATGGAAGAAATATTTTGCAAACGAAAAAACTCTTACAGCAACAATTTATAAAATCTTTTTCTTAAAACATTTTTTCTGGAAAATAAGTTTCTCAAGTTCAGTAACTATTTTTGCACTTTGCTGTATTGACCAGGGTTTCCTTCCTAACCTTTTATTTGAGGGTCAACATCTGGGTTATGTTAGACATTTTCATGACGGTCGTCTTCGAGTATAGAATCCAGAGGTTGGCAGTGAATATTTCGGAGACAGTAGGAAAGCGTAGTGCAGGTTCGCAGTGGATATCTCAGCAAAGTAGCAGAGCGTAGTTCTTCCGTCTGTCATGTTCGCCGGACAAGTTGCCTCGGGTCCTTCCGGGTAGGAAAACAAAGATGGCCGCCTTTATACACGACGGATCCAGTGTTCTGCGGCTCCTGATTGGTTAATCTTCTATTGGTAGACTATAAAGGGAATTAAGTCACTTTGACTCGCTCACTAGTTCCATAGTATATACACAAAAAACCGTAATAGGTTATGTCATTATTTTTTTTCTTTGAGGTACATGTGATATCAAATTTTAGTTTTTACTCTATGCCTAAAATTCTGAAATTTTATTTACTACTTATTCACTTTTTTCTTCTTCTTCCGCAATCGGGATAGAAAGGTTCACCACTTTTCTGGTTCATACGATCCTCCCCAGTCTTTTGAATGGGTGTAGAAATTTATCCCTTGTTTCCTGTAGAGGATTGGGTTTCCAGTCCGTTCCTAAAGCTAATTCAACTCTATATTTCTAATGTCTCCGCCTATTTATTTACTTTTTTTCTTTCATCCATAGGGATAAAAGGTTCACCTCTCGTCTGGTTTACAAACTACGATCCGGGATTTTGAATGGGTGTAGAAGTTTATGCCTTTTTTCTTGTAAAAGAATACAGGTGAATCCTTGTCGCCTTTGCACTATTTTCCCATCAGCATTTGAAGCAAACTATTTGAAGATAGAATAAGCAAGAAAGTTGTTGAGCACCTCAAAAAAAAAAAAAATAAAATAAAATAAAATAAAATAAAATAAATAAATAAATAAAAATAATGAGTAGCAAAAAGTATGGTTTTTCACTCTTTTAGGTTCAGCATCCTGAATATGACGATAAACTATATCTGCGTCCTGGGTAAGACAATAAACTACGTTCAACAGCAAGGCCTCTGATCAGGAGGTTTTGAGTGGAACCGCCCCTTAATTGCTGGCATTCCCAGGTCCAACATCACCCAGGGTGGTAGCACTTGTTAGGGTCCAGCTATGGGCAAATAGTTAACCCCTAAAGTGGGCTCAAAACACTATGAAAGTGTAAAAACAGGTTTTAATACCAGAAATACTTTGTAAAAAAAATTATTACCAGCAATATATTTTTTTTTTTAAATTATATAACCAGCAATACATTTTTAAAGAAAAATATTACCAGAAATAGATTTTTTTTTGATGAAAAAAATATTACCAGAAGTACATTTTTGAAAACAAAAAAAATATTACTAGCAATAAAAATTTTGTCAGCATTAAATAAGCCATTGAGGTTGATATGCCATAAAACAAACCAAACCGGACGAAACTTTTAGGTTCATTGCTGATGTTCTAACTATTATCACACATAGAATAAGTTAATTCATCATGATTTTTTTATCTTATAAGATTTATATTCAACAGTAATTAATCCAACAAGAGTAGATATACGTATTGTTGATCTGATCTGATTTGACTTCAGGCAATCAGTTTTATAATTGCTTTTCCAAGAGTAACTTAGACTTAGCACAAAGCCGAATGTATGAGACATCCAGTGAGGATCAAATTCACTATGGTCGTAATTGATCTAGCAAGATGAGCTTGTTAACCATTACATGGCTTTGAGGTGACCAGTCAGGATTATACATATTTACCAGTGGGAAAGTTTATATCGAACCCAATGGTCAGAAATCATTTCAACTGCAGGGGAAACAGGTCAACTTTGTAAAACTAACATTAACAGACGGCTATCAGTTCAATACTTGTGCTGGGTAGAAAATATACATTTGCATTGGATAACAACTTAACATTTATTAGTTATCCTTCCTCTAGATTAAAAAAAATATTATTTTAAAATCTCCCTGTAGAATTTGTTTTGCAAATTTTCAAAATATTTATCTGAATGGGCAAAGCAGATCAGCAAGAGTTGGAGCAGATTGATAAGCAAACAAACGTATTTTTTTTTCAAACAGAAAGAAAAAAAACAAAGAGAGACAAATAATAAAAATGATGAAACTGAACTGCATAATCTGATAAAACAACGCACACAGATATCTTTAAGCATATCAATATGTTGGTTATAAAGATGCTGTGTCAGTTTTCTATTTTTTTTCTCGGTGAGAGAATTTCAGAGATACTTTGTACTTGCTCTTCAGTTGCTGAGTACAAAAAGTGATTGGAGGAAGTCAGTAGGTGGTCATGTGTTAGTATGGATGAACACATGCACACACAAACGCACACTTGGGAATTTTTTTTTATTATGAAACTTTCTTCTCAGTGGTCAACATTTTCGAAATATTTTACTTTCAACAACAATCGTTATTTTTTTTTAGGTGAATAGGTTTAAGAATTAGTAGAGAAATGGAGAATTGGACGAACTTAGAAATTAAGTAGGAATTGAAAATGAAAAAAGAAGAGAGAGAAGGATAAAGATTGAGAGAGTGTGAAAGATAAGGGAATAAAGATAAAGATTTAGAGAGTGGGAAATAAAAGAGAATGAGAGATAAAGGTATAAAGAGGGTGTAATGGAAGAGAATGAGAGATAAAGGTTTAAGAGAGGGTGTAATGGAAGAGAGTGAGAGATAAAGGTTGAGAGAGGGTGTAATGGAAGTGAATGAAAGATAAAGGCTTATATAGGGTGTAATAGAAGAGAATGAGAGATAATGGTATAGAGAGTGGGAAATGGAAGTGAATGAAAGATAAAGGTTTAGTGAGAGTGAAATGGAAGACTCTGAGAAATAAAGGTTTAGAGAATGTGTAATGGAAGAGAGTGAGAGAGGGTGAAATGGAAGAGAATGAGAGATAAAGGTTGAGAGAGGGTGAAATGGAAGAGAATGAGAGATAAAGGTCGAGAGAGGGTGAAATGGAAGAGAATGAGAGATAAAGGTTTAGTGAGAGTGAAATGGAAGACTCTGAGAGATAAAGGTTTAGAGAATGTGTAATGGAAGAGAGTGAGAGAGGGTGAAATGGAAGAGAATGAGAGATAAAGGTTGAGAGAGGGTGAAATGGAAGAGAATGAGAGATAATGGTATAGAGAGTGGGAAATGGAAGAGAATGAGAGATAAAGGTTTAGTGAGAGTGAAATGGAAGACTCTGAGAAATAAAGGTTTAGAGAATGTGTAATGGAAGAGTGAGAGAGGGTGAAATGGAAGAGAATGAGAGATAAAGGTTGAGAGAGGTGAAATGGAAGAGAATGAGAGATAAAAGGTCGAGAGAGGGTGAAATGGAAGAGAATGAGAGATAAAGGTTTAGTGAGAGTGAAATGGAAGACTCTGAGAGATAAAGGTTTAGAGAATGTGGGAAGAGAGTGAGAGAGGGTGAAATGGAAGAGAATGAGAGATAAAGGTTGAGAGAGGGTGAAATGGAAGAGAATGAGAGATAAAGGTCGAGAGAGGGTGAAATGGAAGAGAATGAGAGATAAAGGTTTAGTGAGGGTGAAATGGAAGACTCTGAGAGATAAAGGTTTAGAGAATGTGTAATGGAAGAGAGGAGAGAGGGGTGAAATGGAAGAGAATGAGAGATAAAGGTTGAGAGAGGGTGAAATGGAAGAGAATGAGAGATAAAGGTTGAGAGAGGGTGAAATGGAAGAGAATGAGAGATAAAGGTTTAGTGAGAGTGAAATGGAAGACTCTGAGAGATAAAGGTTTAGAGAGAGGGTAATGGAAGAGAGAGAGAGAGATAAAGGTTTAGAGAGGGGGTAATGGAAGAGAATGAGAGATAAAGGTTTAGAGAGGGGGTAATGGAAGAGAGTGAGAGATAAAGATTGAGAGAGGGTGAAATGGAAGAGAATGAGAGATAATGGTTTAGAGAGGGTGTAATGGAAAAGAGAGAGAGATAAAGTTTTAGAGAGGGGATAATGGAAGAGAGAGAGATAAAGGTTTAGAGAGGGGGTAATGGAAGAGAGTGAGAGATAAAGATTGAGAGAGGGTGAAATGGAAGCGAGTGAGAGATAATGGTTTAGAGAGGGTGTAATGGAAGAGAATGGAAGAGAAATGACTATAGTGGATGAAATGGAAAAAAAGTGAATGATAAATGCTTAAAGAATTGGAAATAGTTGTAAAAATAAGATAAATATTTAGAGAGGGTGAAATGGAGGAAAGTGAAAGATAAATGGCTACAGAGGGTGAAATTGAAGAGAGTGTAAGATAAAGCTTTAGAGGGAATGAAGAGAGTGAATGATAAATGTGAAGAGATAGTAAAAGGGAATACATTGGATGATAAATGTTTAGAGAGGGTGAATGGGAAAGAAACATAAAGTCATAGTGAGGGTCAAATGGAAGAGAGTGAAAGATAAAATGATGTAATGAATATGCATACACCTGGCCCCCCTCACAGTAATATGATTGGCTAGTGTCAGCCATAAATACAGACTGTTGTGGAGGTACAGGAGGACGCCTATTGGCTACGCCTATAGTCTTCGCCTATTGCCTACGCCTATTGCCTACCACTACAACGAGGACCAGTCCATTATGGTTACCTACTAGATTGTCCTACTCGGTTACAGTAGTCCAAAACCACTTTGTTACTTCGAACAAATATATCCCTTTTCGGGGCATATCAGTTGTCGACCAGATTGGAAATGACCTCACAAGTTTAAATAAAAGAAAAAAAATATAAAGTTGACAACACTTACTAACGAAGGACGTTACAAAGACGGTTACAGAAAGTAAGTAATTTTTCCCTCATATTTGTTTTAACGCTTATTAACGAGGAACGTTAGAAAAGGAAAAACGTGTGCAACGCTTACAGAAAGCAAGAAATTGCCCCAACCTCTTGTTTGGTCGTAGAAAATTTTATTGTCTACATAAATTGGAGCAAAACTTTTTCTTGTGGATACGTTGGCAGAATGGAACAAATTTACAGCAACAATTCCAACAACAACAATTTATTCAGCAACAGGAATGGTTTGAAAAGTTATTCAAACAACAGGCAAAAGACAATAAATCACTTTTGGAAGACGTATTATCTAGGACAACAAAAGAACCGGGTTCTAGATTGTTTTCTGCTGAAGGAATTTCAAATTCACTCTCTGAATTTAAATATGACCCTGACAGTGGTTCAACGTTTCCGGCTTATTTTCGTAGGTTTGAAACAATATTTACGAAAAGATGTGAACATGGGTCCGACGAGGAAAAAATCACTTTATTGTTTCAGAAGTTAGAAACAGAAGAAAATATAAAATACGCGTATTTAATCCTCCCAAAGAAGCCAGAAGAAATGACATTCAGCAAAACAGTAGAAATTTTGTCAAAAATTTTCGATGAATTTTCATACACAATACAAGTGTCTAAATATCGTAAAACAAGAGGATGATGATTTTATCACGTATGCAGGTATGGTTAACGCACAGTGTGAGGCGTTTAAATTAAAGGAATTGTCAAGCGACATGTTCAAGCGTTTAATTTTACTGCAGGCTCTAACGAACCTGAAGGACAAAGAAATTAGATCAAGAATTCTCACTATCATGGAACAGGATCCGAAGATTACGCTACAAAAAATAACGGAAGAATGTCAGCGACTTATAAACATAAAAAAGATAATACTCGGATTGAGGAGAAGAGCATTTCTCGAGTACAAACTGTAAGACAACAGAAGTGGATGCAAAATAAAGAAAGAAAAATTATATGCAGTTCGTGTGGAGGACAGTATATAAAGAAGGATTGTTTCTCTAGGGATAAAATATGTTTTAATTGTGAGCGTGTAGGCCATAGAAGTTCCCATTGTCGGGCAAAACAGAGTAAAGTAAAAGCAAAATCTCAAACAAAGGTGAACGTAGTTTTGTCTAAAAACGAAATTGAGGAGGGTGAAAGAGGAAAATACCTCAATGTAAAAATAAATGGGCAAACTGTAAAATTATTACTCGATTCAGGAAGGGACATCTCGGTAATAAATGAGTAAACATGGAAACAAATCGGTTACCCGCCGTTGACTAATATAGACAAAATTGCAAGGGGAGTGTCAGGAAAAAGACTTAAGTTTAGAAGTGAATTAAAATGTAACATTGCGTTCATGGGAAAAATTCACAAATCGAAAGTGTATATGCTCCCTGCTTCAGTAACCCTCTTTAGTTTAGACTGGATAGTATTGTTTAATTTATGGGAGTTGCCAGTGAATTCTTTCTGTAACGAAGTTAACGTCATAGAGAACTTTAAGACGAAGCAAACAGAAAGATTTATTACGGATTTGAAAGGCGAATTCCCTCGCGTCTTTTCAGAAAGACTAGGTCTATGCACAAAAACAGAAGTCAACTTCGAATTGAAAAAAAAAGTTAAACCAATCTTTAAACCAAAGAGAAAAGTACCGTTTTCGGCACTAGACACAATAAATGAGGAATTAGAAAGGTTGGAGAAAATTGTCGTAATTTCAAAACTCGATCACTCGGACTGGGCGTCTCCAACCGTATATATAAAAAAGAAAAACCGGAAAATCAGAGTGTGTGCTGACTTTTCGACAGGTTTAAATGATTGTGTGAAAGACCATGCGTACCCTCTACCGTCTCCCGAGGATATATTCCCTAAATTAAACGGAGGTAGAGTGTTTTCAAAGTTGGACTTGTCGAAGGCTTACCTTCAGGTTAAAGTCAGTGAAGAATGTTCAAAGTACCTGGCAATAAACACGCATAAAGGGATTTTTAAACTAAATCGTCTTCCTTTTGGATTGAAGGTAGCTTCAAGCCTATTCCAGCAAATAATGGACACAATGTTGGCTGGTATGGAGTATGCAATTGCATATTTAGATGATATTTTGATTAAAAGTGAAAACGAGGCCCAACACAAAACGCATATTAGAGCGGTATTTCAGAGAATTGAGGAATACGGGTTCAAGCTGAGTGCTGAAAAATGCGAGTTCTTCTTAAATAAGATAAAATATTTATGGCAGATCATTGACAGTAAAGGAAGAAAACCGGATCCAGAAAGAGCTGAGGCTATAAAAAATATGCCAGCACCTGATAATGTGGCTAAACTCCAGGCCTTCTTGGGATTAGTAAGTTACTATAGCATTTATATCCCAAAAATGTATATGGGAGCCCCTTTAAATAATTTGGTGAAAAAGGGCGCAAAGTGGACATGGTCGAAAGAATGCGAACAGGCTTAAAAAAAAGAAGCTGTCTATTAGCAGACCTATCGTTAGCGTATTTCGACCCGAAAAGGAAAATAATTGCAGCAGCAGATGCCAGTAATGAGGGACTAGGTACGGTATTGCTTCATAAATTCGAGGACGGATCTACGAAGCCAATAGCTCATGTCTCGAGAACGTTACTGCCCGCGGAATGAAGTTATATTCAAATCGAAAAAGTGAGTTTAGTGATAATCTACGCTGTAAAAAAAAATTCACAGATTTCTATACGGAAGAGAATTTATTCTGCAAACAGACCACAAACCGCTGTTAACAATATTTGGTTAAAAAAAAAGGTATGCCAATTCACACGGCAAATCGACTACAGGGTTGGGGTGTAATTCTATTGAATTATAATTTCAAAATGGAATATGTGCCTTCAAAGAAGCTAGGTCACGCCGATGGGTTATCAAGATTGATGCCTATATATAAGGAACCACTGGAAGAAACAGTAATAGCGGCGCTAAGAGACGAAAGTGAATTGTCGGGTCTGTTATACAACACTATTAGAGAACTACCGGTTATGCTAGAAGATGTGAAAAAAGCAGAGGTGAACGATGATTTTATTAAAAAAATGAAAAAGCAAGTCTGGTTGAACGAGACAACAAAAAAGGAATTAGTGTGTCATCTTTTTCAATCTGCGAACAGGTATTACTATACGCAGATAGAGTTGTAATGCCGGTTACTCTGCAAAAGAAAATTCTGAAAGAATTTCACACTGGCCATCCAGGGATTTCGAGAATGAAATCTCTAATGAGAGGCAATACTTATTGGCCGAGGATGGACCAAGACAGAAAATTTGGTGAAACAGTGTAGAGGATGTCAACTGGCAGCAAGGGATCCACCAGTAAAGATTCAACCATGGCCAAAGACAGATGTCCCATGGACTCGATTGGATATCGACTATGCAGGGCCGATAAATGGATCTTATTGCATGATTATTGTGGACAGTTTCACTAAGTGGCCAGAAGTTGTTAAGTGCAGTTAACGCACTTAATGAAATTTTTAGTGGCTTTGGAATCCCTAAAACTTTAGTCAGCGACAACGGAACGCAGTTATCGGGAAGAGAATTCAAGGAATTCTGTACATCATTGTCCATTGATCACGTGACAACGCCAGTATATTATCCAAGATCGAATGGACAGGCGGAAAAATTCGTGGACACCTTTAAACGAGCGTTGAAGAAAAACCCAGGCGTGGACACGAATGAGAGAAGTATTCAGAAATTTTTGGCAGTATATAGAATCACGCCAAACCCGAATACGACGTCAGGGTGATCGCCAGCAGAGTTAATGTTTGCGAGAAAAATACGCTCTGTGGTTTGACAGGCTGTTGCCTAGTCCGGCGAAGAAAACTGCTAAAAAAGAAAACCAGATGACTAAAGCGTATAAGCCAGGTGACAAAGTTTTTTTCAAGAACTTTAGGGATGGAAAAATGTATTGGGAAGAAGGAATGATAACCAAAAGAATTGGACAGGTCATATATGACATAAAAGGGGAAAAAATTTGGTGTAAAAGACATTGGAATCAATTGAGACCCAGACACACTACAGAGGTCACGGAAAATACCGAAGAGATTCCAATGGAAGTTCTGTATGTCAACATTCGCCAAAGGAGGTATCCCCGACCTCAATGCCTGAGGTACCAATGTGCCACCACTGCAATGAGGATTTAGACCCTAAAAAGAGAAAATATTTAAGCTAAATTTCACGGGAAAATTTAGCTCAGTGGGAGGTGATGTAATGAATATGCATACACCTGGGTTCCCCCTCACAGTAATATAATTGGTTGGTGTCAGCCATAAATACAGACTGATGTGGAGGTACAGGAGGACGCCTATTGGCTATGCCTATAGTATTCGCCTATTGGCTACGCCTATTGCCTACCACTACGACGAGGGCCCGTCCATTAAGGTTACCTGCTAGATTGTTACTCGGTTACAGTAGTCCAAAACCACTTTGCTACTTCGAACTTTTATGATATGTCCCTTTTCGGGACATATCATAAAAGTTTACAGAGTAGGAAAAGGAACAGGGTGAAATATAAATGTTTAGGGAGGGTGAAAAGGAAGAGAGAGAAAAGTAAAGCTTTAGAGAGGATGAAATGGAAAAGAGTGAATAATAACGGTCAAGAGAAGGTTAAATGGAATAGAGTGAAAGGAAATTATTTAGCGAGTGGGAAACTGAAGACAGTGAAACATAAATGTTTAGTGAGAGTGAAATGGAAGACAGTGAAGGACAAAGGCTTACAGTGTGTGGAATAGAAGAGAGTGAAAGTAAAATGTTAGAGAGGGTGAAATGGAAGTGAGTGAAAGATAAATATTAAGAGAGGGTGAAATGGAAGTGAGTGAAAGATACATATTTAGAGAGGATGAAATTGAAGCGAGTGAAAGATAAATGTTTAGAGAGAGTGAAATGGAAGACAGTGAAGGACAAAGGCTTACAGTGTGGGAAATAGAAGAGAGTGAAAGATAAATATTAAGAGAGGGTGAATGGAAGCGAGTGAACGATAAATGTTTAGAGAGGGTGAAATGGAAGCGAGTATAAGGTAAATATTTAGAGAGGGTGAAATGGAAGCGAGTGGATGATAAATGTTTGGAGAGGCTCAAATGGAAGCGAGTGAAAGATAAATATTAAGAGAGGGTGAAATCAAAGTGAGTGAAATGTAAACGTCTACAGAGGGCAAAATGCAAGAGTGAAATATAAATATCTATTGAGTCTGAAATGGAAGAAAGTGAAAGTTACAGAGAGGGAAGTGGGAGAGAGTGAAATATAAAGGTTTACAGAGAGGGAAATGGAAGAGAGTTAAAGATAAAGGTTTAGAGTGTGTGAAACAGAAGAGAGAAATATATAAATAAAAGAGAAAGAAAAACTGGGAGAGAAAAAAGAATGCAATGTGCATAATAGTCAAGAAGGATGCTATTCATCTGTAGTAACCTATCTAATTTCAAATTCAAACCATGCCTTCTTTGCCTCTTTTAAACATCTCTGGTGTATTATGGGATTGAATCTTATAAAGAGTCTTATACATCCTCAAAATCAAATGAAGGTTTTTTGTTACTTTTAAATCTATCAGATGCATTATGAAAATGATTATTTTGAAGAGTCACCTATGCAATCTTATATTCCATCTTTAGTTTCATTGTCTTTTTTAAACCTCTCTGATGTATTTTGGGACTGAGTCCCCTATTCAACAACAAATTCAGGATTAGTCTTCTTTGCATGTTTAAAAATGCATTATGGGAATTCATATTTTGAAGAGTCACCTATACAGTCTCTCATTCAAGCTATATCTTCATTGTGTCTCTTAAATCTCTCAGATGTATGATGGGATTGAATCTTAACAGTCACCTATGCAATCTCAGAATGAAACCAAACCTTTTTTGTCATTTTTAAAACTCTGATGCATGATGGGAATGAACACTTTGAAGCATTACTTACACAATCTCAAAATGAAGCTTAAGCTTTTTTGTATCTTTTTGCACTTCCCAAAAATATCATTAAGCTGAATTTTTGGAACTAAAATAGCCAACCCAAAATGGGAACAACAGCTATTTATTTTGCTTCATTTATTTCAGGTTCATGAAATTCAAACATTTCCCAAAGTTTTTGTTTGTATTTTTCTCTAAAAATGAAAAAAAAAAGTTATCTTTAGAAAGAAAGAAAATGAATATATGAGTGTCAAAAGCATTAAAATTTGACAGAAATGTTTTTTATTTCTTTTCGTAAAGCAATGTTTAAAATGGGAATCTTTTAGAATTCAAAGCAGTTGAAAGATAGAATGACAAAATTAGATTGTTGGATAAATGTCTATAATAACCGGAAAATATCTGGTTGATCAAAAAGAGGAAAATATTAAAAGTCAATAAAATCTGGCTATTAAAAAAACGGCAAAGTAAACTTTAGGCAAGTTTTTTTTTTGTGTTAAGTGTTATTTTAACTTTCATCTTTGAAATCATCTGAATTGGTCGAGTCATTCAACGAATAACAGTGACAAGTACACCGGGAATATGTGTGAAATTGGCAATTCTCAGGTAATATTAAATGACTGAATACTTTATGGACATACTTTTGTGTGTCCATATATATATATATATATATATATATATATATATATATATATATATATATATTAATATTGAATATCAAATTGAGAAATCAGAGAGCTCAAATCGAATTCCGGTTGAGTTCATTACGTTTACTTACGTGCTAATGACCTTGGGAAAGGTATGAATCCATCTTTTCTGTCTTCACCTATAGGTAAATAGCAGGACAGACCAGGTCCTATAGTCTTGGGGGGCGAACAGTCGGAGGGTCGATTTGGGGATATTTAAAGTTAATAGTTGCTTGGGGGCTATGGTTATCGCATCTGACTCACAAAACAAATCCCCAAAACATATAAAATACAATTTAAGCGTTAAATCATGAACATTGCTGTTAAAGCAAAAGCATGACAAAATATGCTGGGCCCTCCCTGACAGCTTAAAAGGACCTGCTCATGGTACTCGAGGTAGTAGGCAGGCATTCTCAGAGTTCACCAGTGACTCTAAGTCAACTGACACAACAAAAGCTTCAACATCAGGCCTGTATATTACCGACTGTCCCATGCTCCAGGGCACTTCCCTCATCTGCAAAAAGACATTCTGTCATGATCCTTGATGCAGGCAACACAGAGATTTTTAAAAATATATCCTGTCTTTTATTTCCACCTTACCAGCAATACTTTGTTGCTTTCATTTGTTTTCATAAGCGATGCATAATTTTTTTTATCAATTTTAACTCCCAATTTTAAGAGAACATTTTCTCTAAGCCCACTTAATATTCCTTAGACAAAAAAGAGAATATTTTGAGCACGCTTTTCTTTCTTTTCCATTTTTAAATGCTTATATATATGTGTGTTTTATAAAAGACGACAGACACGGTACTATGATTAAGCTTTTTATTTAATTTTTCTTCTGTTCGAACAAATGTTTTCTTTTCTGGACACAGAATATGTAGAAGTGGCAACATTTGCACCCAAACTAATGGTGTTAGTATGGGAAATCCACTCGGCCTGTGCTTCTCCAATTATTACATGTATAAAATATGATATTTAAAAAGTTATTGGTTTCGTTTGGTTTATTTTAAGGCATATCAACCTCAATGGGTTGTTTAATGCCGACAACATTTTTTATTGCTGGTAATATTTTGTTTTGTCAAAAATCTGTTTCTGGTAATATTTTTCCTTCAAAAATGTATTGCTGGTAATAATTTTTTTCAAAAAAATATTGCTGGTAATAGTTAACTATTTGCCCATAGCAGGGACCCTAACAGGTGCTACCATCCTGGGTCAGGGTGGACCTGGAAACACCAGCAACTAAGAGGTGGTTCCACGCTCCTCAAAACCTCCTGATCAGAGGCCTTGCTGCTGGATGTAGTTTATCGTCTTACCCAGGACGCGGATGTAGTTTAACATCTTACCCAGTACGGATATTTAAACAGGTGTGTAAACCTAAAATATATGTCCGCTACGTAGACAATATTTTTATTTTAGTAAATAACACAAAAGAAATAGATACTCTGAAGACTACATTGGAAAAAAAACTCTGTCTTTAACTTTACCTACGAACTTAGTCAAAAAAAAATAAACTTGTATTCTTAAACGTTCTCGTAAAATATAGTAACAACACTTTTATCGCCTCATTATATAAAACCCCACTAACAGAAACACTTGCCACCTTAACTTTAAAAGTGAATACCCACTCAGATACAAAATAGCAGTGATAAAAAACTTCCTAAAAAGAGCACACCAGAATTCATCCTCTCGACTACTCTTCCTTAAAGAACTCAATAATGTAAAACAGACACTAATTAACAATGGCTTCCCTAACCACCTTATAGACCACCAAATTAGACTATTTCTCCCCAAAGTAAATAACAATGATAGTAAATACACAGTAAAAAATAAAATAAATATTTTCTACAAAAACCAAATGCACATCAACTACAAACAAGAAATATCATTTATGATACACTACCTCAAGTGACCCGAACAAAAAATAAAATTAATTATATACTATAAAAATTTAAAACAGCCTACCTTATCCTCAAAAATAACAACACACCAGCAAAATCAAAATGACAACGGACAAACATTATCTATGAGTTCAATTGGCCCTTAATGAACTGTGTTCCTGATCAAACCGAATTCATAAATAATTACATCGGCCACACGACTACATACCTATCCAGACTCCTTACGTTACATCTGTTCATCCACTGCTCTATTAGAATCCAATTAAATGCGCACACAAACTTACTAGACTCCATCCGAAACATACTAGTAGAAAATACAAACATAATAACTGCATCCACATGTAAAAAAAAAGATAAAAAATAATGGAAGCCTTAATAATAAAAAAGAAAAAAGCCAACACTTAATAATATTAACTACGAACACGGTCACAATGTGCTGACTGTGTTCGGAAAATAACACATCCCTATAACTCTAAAAACATGCATACAACCTACACACCCAATTAAAAAGCAAAAATAAAATCATCCTTGATAATGTATAACCGAAAACGCTTGGAATTACAGAACTTTTGGACTGTTTCTACACACTCTAGGCAGGAGACGCATCGTCCCAGAATTATTTGGAAGCTTGATTTTATGTATTTTCCATGTCACTCTTAGCAGTTGTTTTTCTCTTTGCAAAGGTTATTTACCTTACCACCCCGCGAGGCAGGATATGGTACAAGGCCGTTTTTTTAATGCGGGATGCGTAGGCGCGGGCAAATATTTTCCGTAGACCACGTAAAAAACGGGGTTGGGTAGCTGTCTACCACCCCAGATGAGACTCTGCCCCTCGCCTGGGTTTCTCTATACCCAAAGGCAGAGAGTTCGACCAGCACAGATGGAGACGAATCTCCAGCTAATTGCCGAAGCAATTTTTTTCCCTTTGCAAATGCCCCTTCCCTCAGTTCCACCATCTATTCACACACACTAGTCATTTAAGTGGCTCACTGTCAATACGTCATAAATAAGCCTTATAAATAATGGACTATTCCATTTTGATCATGAGGAAAGACGGAAAAGACATATCAGTGACGATGTTCATTTTCAGTTGGAAAAAGAAATAAAGAAAGAATATAGTGGAAAACATAACGTTCTTATGTGTTTAACATTTGCTTTTTCTTCTCCTATTTGCTGTGTTCCTTCAGGACATAGGCGATCATGGCTCTACATAACTTCCTATCCCTGGTTACCCTTAATGGTGTTTCTTCTTCTGCCAAGCCATCCAATTCCCATTTCGCCACACATCCGCCCAATCGTGTCATGTAGTTGGCTCACTAACCTTAACCTATCTCTTTGGCCCTTGATATGCCCTGTGAGGGTTAAGTTTTCCAAACCCTCCTTCCTTCCTCGTTATATGCCAAATGAATTTCAGCTTTCTTTTCATGATTCTGATTATAAGTGTCCTTTCTGTTGCCGTTTTTTAATGATTTCCTTGTTGTTTACTTGCTCCATCCATAAAATTCTCAGTAGTCTTCTGTAGAACAATCTCTCTGCTGTCACTTTTTTCTAGAAAGATTGTTCCGCATTCATGTCCATATAAGTGAACGGATTAAAATGGCATTATTTTAGTAAATTTTGTGAAATATTTAGTTGGTGTTAGTAAGTGTTAAAAATAAATTCATTCTTTTTAAATATTAAATTGTTATGGGTTCGCGAAAAAAAAACTTTATCAAGGGCCTGCTACTGAATGAAATGCCGGGCCTAGGAATACCTTTCTTGCAGAAGGGGTCATTGCCCGGGGCCTGAGTCATCCACAAAAGGGGAATTACCGAGGAGACCTAAACAATTTTTTTTTAAGCATTCAACCCCAATCAAGGCGGGGAGCCACTAGCACGCAAGGGGTTA